CTCTCTCTCTCTCTCTCTCTCTCTCTCTCTCTCTCTCTCTCTCTCTCTCTCTCTCTCTCTCTCGCATTTCATATCTTTTCCTATTACTTTCGGTCTTTTATCTTTCTCCCTCCTCCTGTTTTCCCACTCCTTTATCTTCCCTATCCTCCTCCTCCCCGCCCTTCTTTTCTCCTCCTCTTCTCTTCTTCTTTTGATTTATTCCTCCTCTCCCTCCTTCCTTTCATATCTCCACTTCTCTTCCTCTTCATCTCTTTCCTTTCATCCATCCCCCGTTTTCCTCTTTCTTTGCTTCCTTTTCCCCTCCTCCTCCCTCCTTCTTCCTTTTTTTTCTCCCGTCTTCTTCCTCTATTTCCCTTTACCCTTCCTCTTCCTTTTTTTTCCTCCTCCCTCTCCTCCCGCAACGCCTTCATCCTCTCCCTTCCCCTTTTTCCTCCTCCCCCTCCCCATCCTCCTCCTCCTCCCTTTTCATCTCCTTTCCCCCCTTCCCTTCTCCTTTTTCCTCCTCCTCCTCCCTTTTCATCTCCTTTTCCCCCCCTCCTTCCCTTCCATCCCTCTTCCCCTCCACCCAGGTCGCAGCCGACGCCTTGTCGCGCGGAGATCCGAACTTCGTGTCCGGAGCCATTTGGTCCGAAATCGAACGCGGCTTCGACCTCTTCGAACCCCACTCGATCGACGAGCTGCTCTTCGCCGGCTTCGAATTCCCGGAATTTAACTTCGACTTCTCCTTCATCCCCGGCTTGGAGATAACCGAGGGCTTGAACGGAACGATTTACGAGTTGCTGGAGAAGCTCGGTTTGGATCCGCCCGAATGGCTTGCCGAGAACAAGTTCGGGTTGTTCTATGGGGTTAGTAAGAGTGGATGAAGGCGGAAGGGCGGGTTTTTGAGGTTGTTTTTTTAAGGTTTTATAAGGGTTGGGGGGGGGGGGTAGAGGAAGGGTTTGAGGTCGGAAGGTGAGTGGGTGTGAGGGAGAAAAAAAACGTTCAGGGGGTTTAGATATACGTATACACAAAGGATGAACACACGTGAGCAACGTATGAAAGCACACAAACACACACACACACACACGCACACACACACGCACACACACACGCACACATACACACACACTCACACACACACGCACGCACACGCACACACACACACACACACACACACACACACACACACACACACACACACACACACACACACACACACACACACACACATTAACACCTTCTCACCCTTATCGTCATCTGTTAAACCTGTATCCATGAAGGTCAGTCAGGGTTAGTCAAGGTTAGACGATGACGTTCTGAATATTTTATTTATTTACCTATTTATTTATTTATTTATATGTTTATTTATTCAATTGCTTATTTATTTATCTAATATTTATTTATTATTTCAATATACTTGCCATGAGTCGTTCATAACTCCTTAGAGGTGAAGGAGATGGAGGAAGCAAGTTATTTCTTATCAGCATGTATTGCATGATGCTTGCATGAACTTCAATAACATTTATATGTGTGTACGTATATACATATACATATATGTGTGTACATATATATATATAAGTATATATATATACTCACATTTATACATTTATACATACGCATACGTAAATACTGTACATACATAGATGTATTATTGTGTTTTAGGATTACTAACTTGCATGCGCATGCCAGCTGTTTTGCTATAATAATTAAAACTGTAGATTTAGGTTTGTTTACAGAGGGTAAGTAAACTCATATATTTAGTTTTATAAATATAACAGTTAATTTTGTAATTCTAAGATTCTTTCGTTCCTTCTTTGAAAATGTGGAGAGATACGTCGATTTAAGTAAATATAAGTGAAATATAAATATAAGTAGATATAAGTAAAATATAAGTATATATGATTAATTAATTATTAAGTGAGTAATGTAATATTCATCACTGCAATGCATTACGAAACTATCTTGAAAAGGAAATACAGATATGGGCAATCAATCGATCCACATCGAAAGAAACAATCAATCATCCCTTGACTTTGCTCTAAAACAATCATGACTGTACAATCATCGAACCACACCTTATTTTCTCCAAACTACTTCATTTTCCACCTTTTTCGCTCATCTTCTTTCCACCAAACTACCTCAAACTTTCCACCAGATTTTCATGCACCGTATTTTCCACCAAGCTGCCTCATTTCCACTTTTATCTGCCTCCTACTTCCGCCAAACTGCCTCACTTTCCACCTATTTTCCTCATTTTCAACCAAACTACCTCGCTCTCCACCTCCCCCCCCCTCATTTCCCACTAAATTACCTTGGTTTTCACCCCCCCCCCTCATTTCCCACCAAACTACCTCGTTTTCACCTCCCCCTCATTTCCCACCAAACTACCTCGTATTTCACCTTCCCCCCCTCATTTCCCACCAAACTACCTGGTTTTCACCTCCCCCTCATTTCCCACCAAACTACCTCGTTTTTCACCTTCCCCCCCTCATTTCCCACCAAACTACCTCGTTTTTTCACC